GGCCCCGCGGAAGGGCCAGTGTGCCCCCTCCAGGTGTTGTGCAACCTGCGCAGCTGTTTTCTCCCCCCCAGCCGCCCCCCGCGCTCCTCTCTCTCCGCCCTGTCGCTGCCTGGGTGGGGAGGCACCGAGCGGGTGAGCCAGCCCCGGGGTCAGCTGTGGCCAAGAAACCGGGTGACTTGTTTTTGATGTAGGGCTGTGGCAGGCGAGTCGGATGCTTCGAAGACGGGTGTTATGTCTCTGCTGAAGTGGAGCCCTTTTCCATCATCCCTTCTTCTGGCCCTCAATGCGAAGCTCTAGAACCCTCAAGGAAGCGTGAAGTTTCACCCTTTCGGGAGCTCACGGTCCTGCTTTGTACCCGAGAGTTTTCAAACTCGGCAGATGTACTCCTTGGCAGTAGATCAGACCTCCTGTGTGAGAGGAGAGGGAAGGGGCCGAGTCCCCTCTTTCAGCTGGTGACAATGTCAGCCTCTTCCATGTAAGCAGCGTGGCTGCTTTCAGAGTCCCCTTTTGGGACCATCTAGCCTCTGGAAGGTTTTGTTCTGATCCTCTCCAGGACAACAAAAGGGATTATTTGGAGAAGTTCAGCGGTTTGACCAGAGCACAGCGCAGCACAAGGCCTTGTGTTGTATGCCTGTTCTGCCCTGAACCATTTGAAGCTTCATGCATACACACAAAATGGGTTAAAACCCAATATCTTTTTCATTTTTCCTTCTTTCCACCCCTTCCTCTGTGTTGAAGAGAACAGAGTAGTCAAACAAAGGGCTACATTGGAAAACAGGACGGTAACGTACTTAAAGAGACAGATCACGGTAATTCCCATCGCTCCCCACAGATATGAGGCTTCTTTGACTCATGATAAGAACAACTTGTGCCACAGGACTGAATCTGGCAGGGTGAAAGGGGGGACGGGGGGAAAAGGCATTTGAGCTGAGGATCAGATTTTGGGCAATAGGGACAAAGACAGATGTGTCTCTGCCTTCTACACTAATCTTTTAACGGCTATTAGCTGATGAGTGGGTTAGGCAGCATCGTGTATTGTTGAGGCTGTAATTCCAGAAGCATCCGAAGCCTAGTCTGCAATTACCTTTCTGAATGGGGACTGCATTAGGTCCATGGGTCTAGCTCCACGGAGGAGAAAGGATGAGAGAGAGAATAGCGATTCTGAATCACTGGGGAGCCTTTGCTAAGCAGAGTGATTTTTAGCTGGCACGGTCGCTTAACAGACCTAACTGTTCTAAATTTGCGTGTGCAGGACTTGAGAGAGCAAGAAATGTTTGAGAGTTACTATGCACTTTAAATCCTAATCTTAACAGTGTTTTTGGTTTCTGGATGTTGACCTTTTGGGAAACACCCAGAAAGCAAAAACATTCACCAGAGGTTATGCTGCAACGTGGAGAGAAGTTGTCTCTAACCTTGTGGGGAAGTGTGGTGCTGATGGGCTAAAATAGTGGCCCTGCAGGGATGTTACTGTATTTCTCCATCATGCTGCTGTAGGAGCAGCTTTGTCTTCTCACTCAAAGGCTGACAGTGAGCCTGTCTCCTTCGCTTGCTTTAGTCTTTCTGTTCTTGTGGCCCGTGCCTGCAAGGGAACCCAACTGTGGGTCTGTTGTCTTTGCTCGAGCTGGAGACATGGATTGCTGCATGGTGTTTGAGCGCATTTATTTTTAGCACCTGAACTATGCAGTGTGGCCAGTTTTGACTTGGTCTGTTTTTCAGTGGTGAACAACTATTTTTAGAGATTCATCAATGTGTGTGTTAATCACAGTGCCAAAGAGTGGATTTTTTTTCCCCTTTAAGCTCTGATAAAAGGTAAAAAGTCTTTCCTCTGATCATCTAGTTGTAGCCATGTCCCTTACAGCAAGAAGGGGGAATAATCTTAGGCCTTCTGAGACGTCTGGCTTTGCTCTGCCTACCGTTTGGTTTTGTTCAGGTATATTGCTTGGTCTCGGCCTTCAAATCCCATTTACCTTCTTATAAACATCAAACGCTTACATCACCGCTGTGTTTCTGTCATCTGGAAACAGCTTGGCCCTGTTGTCAGCTCTGCCCCCGTCAGTGTTGGTATGCAGCTGGGGAAGCAAACACACAGGGAGTTGTTTTGGACAGGCAGACTAGAAGGACGGGCGGGCGTTGTGAGCTCAACTTCCACGCTGTGTGTGGGGCGTTCCGGCTCCCCTCCATGTCAGGTGTGCAGAGATGCTAATTGCAAGATGAGGCAGAGGGGGAACTGCTAACAAAGGTGGAATTTGTTTCTAAAGGCCTTAGGTGAGAATAACATCCGGGGAGTAGCCTGAAGTGCTTGTTTGTTTTCTAAGCAGCAGAGAGGTGCTGAGCTTTGCTTGCTGTTTCTGTTAGGGGCAGAAGACTGTACTGAAACCTGGAAACTCCCCTGCCCCCTTTTGTCTGTGGGAACTCATTCCAGGGGTTATCGAGCTTTGCCTTTGAGAGAAGCCTGCTCATCTTGATGGCTTCATCCCTTCTTGGCATTGTTTTCTTCCTACTCTGCAGGAAGCACATCACGCTTACTAGCATACTGAAAATAGATGTGAATGTTGTTTTAGCAGTCTCTGGACTGGACTGTCCAAGGCAGGGAAGCACAGCCTGGAGATTCCTGAGCAGAAACAAGCCTGGCAGTTTTCACACAGCACTGCTCCTGAGCTGACAGAGCTTGAAGGGCTGGACGGTGCTAGGATAATGCTGTGTCTGGGGCCCGAGGTGGGACTGTCCCACCACACTGTGCAGGGGAGATGCACCTTTTCAAGGCAGTGTTGCTCGGAGCTCCTGAGGCTGTCGTCAGATGCATGACGCCTCCTAGAATAGGAGCGCTGGTGTTAGTACGGATGGGCCCTGGTGGAGGAGAGGTTGTGGGGCAGCATGGTGGTGAGAGGGTAGGTCACAAAACACGGCCACAGTATGCAGGCATGTCCTCTGCTCAGGATTAATATGTCTGTGAGTGACCTAGATCATCCCAGCCTATACTCTGTGCTCCTTCCAGAGCTGTAGTGCTCAGGGTCTGGAAACCACCCGTTTCCAACCACCCATTCTCCTTTCTCACTGCAGTGGCAGGGAGCCACTGCGGAGCTAGCAGGTAACCCACGGGGGGAGTGGTGCTCTGTTTGCTGGTGCCTTTGCTCTCACCCTGTGGCCTACTTCCTCTTCCTCGACAGGCAGTAAAGATGTCTCGATGATTGTAAATGCATGGGTGCTTGGGGGTTAGCCCTGGCCTTGGGAAGTGGGAGTGGCACAGGAGAAAGAGCTCACCTCCTGAAGGACTGCCAGCAGGCACAAGGCTCTGTCTCCACTGGAATACAGCTGGCCTTGGCAGAGGTTTCTTTGCCCTGGCGTACCAGGAGATCTGTGGGCCTCCTTCCCTTCTCACCAGCTGACATGAACTTCTCTTTCTTGTTTCCTTGCAGGCTCGTCTCAGGTTTCCCATTGACTACCCCTATTCTCCTCCTGCCTTTAGGTTCTTAACCAAAATGTGGCACCCCAACATCTATGAGGTAGGTCACCCAGGACAGCATGGGAGCTTCTGGGACAGATAGGGAGGGCACGAACCTACTTACCGCAAAGGTGCGGGATGAAAACCCCAGCTTTTGTCATGGGCACAGCACTGGAAACTCCATGTCTTTAGGGCTTAGTGTCTGGCACTGGAAATGCAGCTAACCTAGGCTTGCTGTCTCCTGTGACAGCCTGTCTTCTTTCCTGGGACTGATTCCAGGGTTAGTCAGACTTTCCAGGCTTGCCATGCTTGGCCGCTGGGGGGATTGTGCTTAAGCCAAGGGTGGATACAGAGTGAGCAAGTGATTTACAGGTCCGGCAGTTGTGTGCTTGTGGTGGAAGGCTGCTTGAAGGGCTTTAGGGTACGTGGGGTTGGGTTGTGTCAAGTGAGCACCAGGGGAGGCTGTGCTGATGACACCAGGTTCTGGTGTTGGACAGTTGATAGCGAGGCAGCCTTGTCTGTACAGTATTAGCAGTACAGGATGCTTATCTGAGACCCGAAGGTGCAGGTATCGTAGCTGGGGCAGCCACCTCTGCTGTCCCCTCCTAGAGACCAAAAGTGCCTGGCTGGGATTTTCTCACCTGGCTTAAGCCAAAGTGAAGAGCAAGCAGGGTACTGCATACAGAGAATTGAACTGCTTGTGGAAGGTGTTTGGGGCGTTAGTTCCTAAGGAGCTTGCTTTGCTCGTGCTTTCAGACCGGTGATGTCTGCATCTCAATCCTCCACCCGCCAGTGGACGATCCACAGAGTGGGGAGCTGCCGTCTGAGCGATGGAACCCCACTCAGAACGTGCGGTAAGGACAACGCCGGCAAGGGTTCATCTGAGGCCGGGTTGGAAAAGACGGGAGATGGAGACTGCTTTCCACTCCCAAAGCCTGCAGGAGATGCCTTTTCCATACGTTTGAGGTTCTTGAAAGACAGTGTCTGGCACTCAGACTGTGTGCTCTGTTGAAGGACAGCTAAAACTTGCACAGGAACGTGTGTGAGCTGAGCAGCCTACACACTGCTCTCCTCTGCATTTTCCAGGGCGGGGCCTGCTCTGTTCCTGTAAAATATGCCTTCACAGGTGGGCCAGCACCAAGCTTTCCCCTTGACCCATGGGATGCAGCGGTGCTGTGACACTCGAGGCTGGCTAGTGTTTGCTGAGGTGCAGGTGGTTACTTGTTGACCCACCTTGGCTCTTACTTGCTAATGTTGATTGTTTGCCAGGACCATTCTTCTGAGCGTGATCTCACTGCTGAATGAACCCAACACGTTTTCTCCAGCCAACGTGGATGCTTCAGTGATGTACCGCAAGTGGAAGGAGAGTAAAGGGAAGGATCGGGAGTACACGGACATCATCAGGTGCGTAGCGAGCTGAGCCCAGACTCAGCAGAACTGCTGAGTGCTTAACCAAGGGGAGGGAATGTTTGCAAGTAGAGTGGAGGGCAAGTGTAACAAAGATCTTCTGAAGATTTCCCCTTTTATTGCTGTAAGTAACAGCAACGCTGCAGTGCTGAGAAGACTTCTAATTAAGCTGTGATCTTGTAAGACACAGTAGGTGCCAGGATCTTGAGGGCACATCTGCCCTGTTTGCTCCCATCTGCAGGCTGGTAGGAGGAAGGATTCTGGCTCTGAGCATGGCTTTTGAGGAGAAGCTTGGCTGGGTTACACGTCCAGCTCTGATGTCAGCCAAAGCCCTGGCTTTCTTCTGCTCCAGAGCTGGGGATCTGGATATGCAGCAGACGTGCCAGCACTGCCCGACGTCATGAGACTGGTACTTGGAGGTTGTGAGCTACAGACTGGCCAGCCCTGGCATAATGGCAAGAGGGTGCCTCAGAACGTGCGGCGTGTTCTCGTGCTCTCCCTGCCTTGTCCTCGCTTGCCAGTCTTGTGACAGTGCAGGCCAGCGACTCTCGAGCTGGCGTGTGCAGGGGAAGAGCTCTGTCCCCAGATTGCCACCGGGCATCCTGAGCGGGATGAGCTGCACAGAATGACCAGGACGTGCCCCATCAGAGCTCCTCTGTTCTCACCCCTCCTGTTTCTCACCCCCACAGGAAGCAAGTCTTGGGAACAAAGGTGGACGCTGAGCGGGATGGCGTGAAGGTCCCCACCACTCTGGCAGAGTACTGTGTGAAGACCAAGACTCCAGCCCCGGATGAAGGCTCAGACCTCTTCTATGATGACTATTATGAAGATGATGAGATGGAGGAGGAAGCAGACAGTTGCTATGGTGATGAGGATGACTCTGGAAATGAGGAATCTTGATGGCCTTCTGGCAGTTGCAAAACTTATTATAAACTACTGAATTTTACCTCAACTAGGACAAACTGGTTTGAATTTAGGATCTGTCAGCCCTGAAATTAACTCTCTACCTCGCAGGGAGACTGTTCTGCTGTTGTAAAGGAAAATCCACCACTGTCTTTGTTTAAAAAAAAAGAAAGAAAGAAAAAAAGAAAAAAAAACTAAAAAAACACCCAAACCCTATTTTTAAACTTCCTGGGTGAGGGGTGGGGGGGAAGGGAAAGTCACATTGGGGCATTCACAAATCCACAGTAACCAGGGAGCTGATGACTCTGGCTGGATTGAGGAATGACAGTAAAATCTGGGGTTGGCTGCTCTTTGTTTGGGCATGCTCGACTCATCTTAACCCCTGCATGGGAGAAACGGTTTCAGGAGGCTGTGGAGCTGGTGAATAGCCACTTTGGGTGGGAGGTGCGTGAGCTTTTATGTAGCTTTCTACAGCCTTTGAGCTGTCAGAGTGGGAAGGGTGTCAGGGTAAGCAGTGCTTCCCTCCTACTGCCAGGGGCTTTGAGCTGCTCCCCGGCGTGGCCCTGCTGTTTGTGGCCGCTAGAAGGAGCAGTCAGGCGTTGGCGTGGCTCAGCCCAGCTCTCCTGTGTGGGACCTTTCTGCCACTTCTTCCTGGGGCACCTGCTCCACTGTGGAGCTGGACCCCGAGCCTTGGCTGCGGGGCAGGCAGGGCCCAGCTGTCCAGCGTAGCTAGCGGGCGCTGGCGCAGGGAGGGGCAGCTTGTAGTTTTTAACTAGCTGGGAAGGACGGGATAGTTCTGAATCTTTCTGCTTCTCTGTTTTTTGGAAACTATTTAATAAAGTACTTTAAGGGAACAACTGTGTTGTGCATGAGTGGCTGAAGCTTGGCCCTCCCCCTGGGCTGGAGGGGTTTTGATGATGGCCTTGGACAAGCTCT